CAGGATCAAAGAGCTGCAAGCTACACAGGGAGACAGATTTGGCTCAATAAAAGGAAAACATTTCTCACATGGTGCTTGCTTTCAATCAAATAAGCTGCCTTACAAAGTCATGAACTTTCCAAGCTCTGGCCACCTTCAACCCGGAGGATAATCTAGAATAATCTTTCAGAAAGAATTTCTGTTCTGGGTGGGAGGATGAAGTAAAAGTCATTTCCCCACTCATTAAAATTCTGTAAATTTAATGTTCCTATTAGTATGCTAGAACACAAGCTCTGATATTGGATCTTGATGGAAACTTTTGGGTGTGGAGCACCTGGTGGGGAAAGAAAAAAAATGACTTCATCTTGACATGGTAGAACAAAGCTCTCATTTGCATAAAAACTGTCATAGAGATTTAAAAATCCAACTTCTTGGTCTTAGCAAACTAACAAGAAATCATTTGAAATAATTTATTCATAGATAGATGTAAACAATAACAGCAGTGTGTGCTTCAAGACAAGGGTGTTAGAATTAACCGACAGAGATGACAATATGAGGTTCTTTTCACAAGGTTGGCAAATTCCTGGCTTTAATAATCTCAGTTATAAACTCTGCTGGGAGGGTTTTGTTTTGTTTTTCTCTTTTTGTGGCACTGGGGTTTGAAGTCAAGGCCTCACTTTTGCTAGGCAGGTAACTCTACCACATCAGCCATTCCACCAGGCCCGTTTTGGATTGAGTATTTTCGAGACAGGGTTTTGTGAACTATTAATCCAGGCTGGCTTCCAGCCTCAATTCTGATCTCTGTATCATGAGTAGCTAGGATTACAGATGTGAGGCACCATTGTTCAGCTTGGGAGGGGTTTTTCAAGGATGAGAGAGGTGCTTGGAAACTATGATTACATTTCTCAAAATATATGAATCAAAGGTTTTTTTTTAAACAAAATCCTTTGCAGAAGATGTCCTGCTACTCTATTGCTATACAGATTTTAGAATGGCCATTGCTTAGAATGCATTCCGTATATACTTTTTGCTTTCAATAAAATGTTTGTTCTTCTGTCACATCCTCACCCTCCCTGCCACCATGAGATTAAGAAGATGCTGCAGTCCCCTGGCTGGTCCCTGGCTTCTGTCCTACTTAGAAGGCTGGTCTCCCCTGGTTTTGCCCTTGACTTGGAATTCAACATTAGTTTTAATGGCCAGAGGGGCAGCTGGTGTCCTGCTTTCATTCTGAACCCAAGCTGAGGGGCATCTTTGTTGGTTCTTCTGTTACCCAGTGTCATATTTTAGCTACTGATAATTTTTTAAAAGTGATTTATTACTTACAGGATTTCAGATATTGGGGGGGTTGCTTTGACAATATTACTTGAGCTACATTTCAGGTGATTTATTTTCATCCTTTTGTCTCCTCTTGTGTGAACTACTGTCTAATTCCATGACGTCATCAGGCAAGTTTGGGCTTCCTTCCCTTAGAGCCTCAAGTCCTGTAGCTGTTTCCTTGGTGCCACTTGCTAGATACCTTGTTTTTTTTGTTTCTAATCTCTGTGAAGACAGATGGCACTTATAGGATTCTCATCCTTCTTTTCCCTTTTGCCTTGAGTTCAGAAACACAAGAACAACCCTAGGAATCTCTGGATCAAAAGCCAACAGGTAAAAATCCATATATGCATCCTTATGGGTAAGTCCTCTCAGAAGAAAGAAACGTTGATCCTCTCACTTAAAAGTTGACTGGAGAGCTGAACTTTAGAGTTTCAAAATAAACGTTTTCTTACCATGTAGTTCTCAAGTAATTTTAGAGCTGACAACAATGTATGAATATTATATTTCTAGCCTTTTATTCAGTACTGTAAATAAATTTTATGGTTCAAAAACGGTTCAATGATTTCAGTCTTAAAAACTAAATATGCTCTTAGCAACATGTTCTGTTATGTCTGAGTATCATGGGAACTATGATCTGGACTTTTCTGTCTGTGAACAATCCTTTAATACAAATACATTATCTTAACATGAGCCACAGAAGCACAGAGTGAGGGTTTTCACCATCAGATTATTTTTGGAGTGGCCTCATATTTTGCCTTGACACTAGCCATAAACTCGGGTCCCAGGAGGTAAGAATACACAGCTAGAAAACCAGATCTGGGAAGATCCCCAGAGAGAGGCTTCCTTGGTGTGGCTTGATGGTCCTATGGACTAGAGGCTGCACAGATAGGCTTCAGTTTTTGGAAACATCCAGGCTGCATTAGCTAGGTCACATTCTTAATGTCATATTTCTTTATTTTTCAATGGAGGAGAAACATTCAAGGTTTTATTGATTGTAATGTTTTGATGAGAAACAAGTTTGGCTTAAGACAAAATTACACTTTTTTTTATTCATATGTGCATACAATGTTTGGGTCATTTCTCCCCCCTTTCCCCCACCCCCTCCCATACCTACCCTGCCCCTTCCCTCTCCCCTTAACCCCCTCACTACCAGGCAGAAACTATTTTGCCCTTATTTCTAATTTTGTTGTAGAGAGAGTATAAGCAATAATAGGAAGGACCAAGGGTTTTTGCTAGTTGAGATAAAGATAGCTATACAGGGAGTTGACTCCCATTGATTTCCTGTGCATGTGTGTTACCTTCTAAGTTAATTCTTCTTGAACTAACCTTTTCTCTAGTTCCTGGTCCCCTTCTCCTATTGGCCTCTGTCACTTTAAAGTATCTGCATTAGTTTCTCTGCATTGAGGGCAACAAATGCTATCTAGTTTTTGGGTGTCTTACCTATCCTCATACCTCCCTTGGAAATTACATTTTTTTTTGATGAGTGGTTTGTCGCATAGCTATTAACTCTATTTTGTGGATAGAGATTGAAGAAGTTGAAGTATGCCCAAGAGGTTCAATTTTAAGCTTCATTCAATGTGCCTGGAAGATGAAAAACTACATTTTTGGTTGTTTTGATGATGACATTCCTACACAGATCTTATTGGTTTTATATTTGAAGGAATAGATTGCATGGATTATGTTTGGGTTCCTTCTTTTATCACTTTAAATTTGACTTTTTGTGCCATGTCTTGTGTTCTTATCTTGAGGAGAGGCTTGTGGAGTTGATTATCAAATTTGTGGTTCGGTCATTTTAAATTCCTTGAATGGAAATGCCTTTATGCAATTTGGCTAGCTCTTAAGTTTGTTTCTCCCTGGGCCCTGTGCCACCTCCTTCCCTACCTTAATGGGTTTCATTATCCCTAGTCAGACAAGATAGAACCATGTGGCTTCAGGGATTCTGTAGACGTGAAAAAAAGGGGCTGTGTCTGCTCATGGGATAAAAACCTCAGCACTGAAGAGTGGAGACAAGAAATACTACTTTGGTCAAGTTTTTGGCTAGAGATGTGGCTAGATGTGGCAAAGGAGTGAGTACTGGAACATGTCTTTTCTCTGGGGCTTTCAAGGTTTTAAGAAATCTGGCATTATATCACATGTCACATATCCAACCTTCTTTCCTAAGGCTCTTTATTTGGTCCATATCCTAAATGTCCTAAAGTGCCACGTCTTTTTCCTGTGGAACTTGTGGTGAATATTGTGAAATCAAATCCTTTACTGTTAACATCTTTTTAGTCCTTGCTAGCTTCTTTGTGCTTTAGTTTTCCTTCCCACCTATAATGAAAGATTCTTAAACTAGGAGGCATATCATCTGTTTCTTTTTTTTTTCATCTTATGAAATATCCCACTCAGTTACAGACACAAAGAAACTAGGTATTAATTAATTATAAGCTTATTATTCTAATAATATCATCCTTTTTTAGTGAACTAAGCTTTTGCCTATAGTGTTAGGGACACTAATTTCAGTGATGGTGTCATTCCGTTCTTGTGTGATGTTACAAATGCCCACATGCAAAATGAGTATGATCTTGATTTTATGAAGAAGGTACAATATATATAATGATGCAGCTAGATCATAACTGATAGCTTCATTCCTTCCTAGATAAAATATTTTCTTAAAAAATTCAGGAGTGATTTTGTAACTTGCAAAAGTAAGTTTATTGAAGCATAGAAAAAAGAGCAAAGCTTTCATTTCTACCTTTTCAAGAACATTCTCATAATAAGAAGATGCAGGAGGTGTGGTTCAAGTGGTAAAGCGCCTGCTTTGCAAGCATGAAGCCCTGAGTTCAAGCCCCAGTCCTACCAAAAGAAGATGCAGAGAAATTGGCTAGTCATCTATTTCTAAACCGAAGCTTTTCCCCTGGAGTTATGCAGAAAGACATGTAGATTGTTGTAATTTCTTCACTTGTGCCCTTCTTGACTTTTTTTTTTTCTTTGAAAGACACTCTTGTTCTTTTGGGAATTGCTTATTTTATTTTCACCTCTGAAATATTGCTGACTTGAGATGAGACCACTTTGCCATCCACCACCTCCTCTATGATGGTCTTTGTCACTCTTGTCTTGTTGGGATCTGAAAATCATGGGACCACAAGATCAGTCTGGAAACTAGCACAAAAACAAACATCAAAAGAAATTCAATTCTGTTCATAAAGTATGTGTGAGATTCTGAACAACAGCATACATTTCCTTCTGATGAGCAAATCATGCATTTACTTTTAAATTATAAAATTATCATCAACATTAAAAAATGTCTACCTCTTCCTTGACCAGAACAGCTTCCAGATCTTGAGTCATCTGATGCTGTGATCCTGGATCCTCCAAAACCAGAACCACTGAAGAAAAGAATAATTATATTTTCCTTTGCAGTTTGTAATGGTAGGAGAAACCTTCCATGCCAGTGATTTTCCATGGCAAAGCTTTAAATGTCTTTTTTGTTTTTTTTTTTTTTAGATAGGTTCTCATTATGTAGCCCAGACTGGCGTGGAACTCACTTATGTAGCCAGCATCAGCCTCCTGAATGCTGGGATTACAGATATTCACTACTACACCCAGCTACTTGAGATGTTTTTGATTGGATTTGTATTTACTTATAGAAGTCCAACCCCTGTGTCCCTTTGTGGGTAAATTCAGCAAGGCATGCATTTTGGCATGTGCTAGGTTGCATTTACCCTCCCTCTCCATCGAGGAGGCGGCGGTAGGTTTCAATCTCCATCTCCAGATGTGTCTTGATGCCCAGCAGTTGCTCATATTCTGTGTTCTGGCATTCAGTCTCACCCCGGAGCTGGCACATCTGCTCCTCCAGGCTGTTGATTTTCACCTGGATTTCTGACAGCTGAGCTGCATAGCCAGCCTCTATGTCAGCCAGGGTCCCTTCCAGAGAACTTTTCTAAGAGAAAAAGCAAGTAAAAAGTTTATGATGAAGGGCTGGGATGTGGCTCAAGTGGTAGAGTGCCTAGCAGGTCCAAAGCCCTGAGTAACACCAAAAAATATTCATGATGAAAATAAGTCAATAGATGATGTAAGAAAAGTAAATTTTTTTTTTAGTGGTACTGGGGTTTGAACTCAGGCCTCACACTTGCTAGGCAGAAGCTCTACACTTGAACCACTCTACCAGCCCTTTTTTGGTTGGGTATTTTTCGAGGTGGGGTCTCACAAACTACTTCTCCAGGCTGGTTTCGAACCAGCAACTGGCTTGAAAAATAAAATTTTATTTGGTACTTGAAGTATACTTTTTAGATAGGTTCTCATTATGTAACCCAGACTGGCATGGAACTCACTTATGTAGCCAGCATCAGCCTCCTGAATGCTGGGATTACAGATATTCACTACTACACCTAGCTACTTGAGATGTTTTTGATTGGATTTGTATTTACTTATAGAAGTCCAGCCCCTGTGTCCTCCAGGCTGTTGATTTTCACCTGGATTTCTGACAGCTGAGCTGCATAGCCAGCCTCTATGTCAGCCAATATTGTTTTAGTAACAACCTATATTGTTTTATCATTGCTTCTTTAATATTTGTTGGCATTACTTTTTCAATTAAATATTTTGCTTAATTGAAATAGAGTGAATTATCTTTTTTTTTTTGGTGGGACTGGGGTTTGAACCCAGGGATTCTCACTTGCAAAGCAGGCACTTTACTAGTTGAGCCATACCTCCAGTCCATTTTGCTCCAGTTATTTTGGAGAAGGGGGTCTTGTGAACTATTTGCCTGGGCTGGTTTCAAACTGTGATCCTCCCAATCTCAGCCTCCCAAGTAGCTAGGATCACAGGTGTGAGCCACCAGTGCCCGGCTTAGCATGCATTATTTTTAACTGCTTTATGGTTTCTAGAACCACTGCTTTTATTATGTGCCTAGTGAGCATCTTGCAAGGAAAGAAAACTACGTTTGTAATTTGGAAAGCTATTTGCACATACCGTGGCCAGTTGGGCCTGAAGCTCAATTTCTAGGGACTGCAAGGTACGTTTCAGTTCTGTTATCTCATTCTTGGCAGAATTGGCTGTCCCAGCATCAGTAGAGATCTGGGCTTGCAGGGACGCCAAGAGCTTCCTTTCATATTCTTCATATCCTAGCACAAAGGAAAAAAGGCCACAGAGATGCAAACAGAAAAGCAGCAACTTCCTATCTGGTCATTGGAGGTGGGAAATTCATTTTGATAAAATTGAGTGTATTTTTACAGAATGGGTATGAGAGAAAACATGGAAGCTAGAGCTGTTCATTCACTGGGGACTTATTCCTACCTCCTCGTGGTTTTTCTTCAGGTAGACCATCTCCTCGGTGAGACTCTCAATCTGCATCTCCAGGTCAGAGCGAGTCATGGTCAGCTCATCCAGCACTCTGCGCAGGCCATTGATGTCTGCCTCTACACTCTGACGGAGACACAGCTCATTCTCATACCTGAAGGGGTGGCAGGAAGTCAGACAGTGAGCTGGCTTGGCATATGTCAGAGTACCTCCCTTTCTTTCACCTCTGAGCATTTTGGTAAATGAAGCCTAGGGAGGTTTCTCTCATGTCTAATGTTAGTTCTAATTATATCTAATAATTTTATAACAAAATTATCATCTTTAATTTACTTCCTTTTTTATGGGATGATGTTCCTAAAGTTTACCCTTGGGATATTTGTGAATTTAGGTCATAATCCCTAAACTATTTTTTTTTTCAGCAGGCAGATTGATTTTTACTTTTCTTATAACAGTTGTTTTCAGCTCTTTGTGTTTCTTACTTCAGTTTGAAGTCATCAGCAGCCAGTCTGGCATTGTCAATCTGCAAAATGATCCCAGCATTTTCAATAGTGGCCGTAATGATCTAGAAAAAGTGATAATAATGAATGCATTGCAGACAATTGTTGCCTTGTGTGTGCACACTTACCTGTGAGGGTAGGTGTCTCCTCTGTTGCTCGCTCTTAAAGATGAATTGATCTGCAAATGTATTTAGCAATGAAACCTGTACGCTTAGAACTACAACTTTCTGCAGAAAGGTAACAGTCTGAGCATTTGTTGGAATAGGCATAGAACATTGTTTTGTAGAATACAGGCATCTGCGTATTTCTGCTGTTTGGAAAATCAGGTGTTCCATGTACTCTTTCAGAAGATAGTGCAAAAATTAAATTTCACTTCATAAAAACACCCTGAAGTGCTGGCAGCATGGCTCAAGTGGTAGGGTGCCTGCCTAACAAGCACAAGATCCTGAGTTCAAACCCTGGTACTGCCAAAAAAAAAACGCCTTTGAAATATATGTTCCATACAACAGTGGCTAAAAATTTAGGTTCCACTACATTCTTATCCAATATTTGCACCAGATTTTCTAGGAAGAAAAATAGTCCTACAGACTATTTAAATCTAGAAAGACACTAACATGTATCAACCTGTTAATAATAAAATAATTAGATGAAACTCATCATTGACTCATTGCCATCACTTTTATATACCTATTAGCTTCCTAACATTACATTAGTTTTATGCAGAGATACACAAATTTGAGATGCCAGCAGAAAATCGGTGTAGTTGGATGTCACATACAGGATTGTCCTAATTAAGAAACACCAGATCCCCTTTGGCATATAAGACAAGCAAATATTTTCAAATAATTCCTTGACTTAAAAATTTCACTGTAGTATACGGCCTGAGTAAAAGTGAAAGACATATCCTACAAACTCTGCCATGGATTGTGACCCACCTGGTTTTTGAGATCTTCAATTATTGGGTAGTATTTGCTGTAATCTCTCCCAGCTCCAGAATCTCTAGACCCAGGCCCATACTTGCCATACCACTCCTTGATTTTGTTCTCCAGATCAGCGTTGGCCTCCTCCAGAGCGTGGACCTTGTCTAGGTAATTAGCCAGGCGGTCATTGAGGTTCTGCATGGTTTGCTTTTCACTTCCTGAGAAAAGTCCCCCATGGCCAACACCACCACCAAGGCCATCTCCATAGCTGTAGAAGTCTCCACTGGCACCACTGCTGAATCCAGAACCTCGGCCAAAGCCAGAGCCCCTGCCAAAGCCAGTCCCAGAGCCTGAAGCTGTTCCCAAACCACCCCCTACTGAACAGCTACCAAAGCTCCCTCCATTGCCACCTCCAAAGCCACCACTAGATCCCCTGCTCAGACCACAGCTCCTGGTTCCTTGGAAGCCCTGGGCAGAGCTGCCCCCCAGACCACATCTGCTACCACTGCTGAAGCTGCTCCCACTAGTGGACACCTTGCAGGAGGAGACGCGAGCTGAGCAAGACATGCTCTAGTGAAGGTGTAGCTTGTCCTTGTGAATGGAGAAGTGGCGTGAAGAGTCTGTCCCACACTGCCTTTCTGGCCTTATATACACATTTTTAGGGCGTTCCTTTTCTATGTAACTTCTTAATCTGTATTGTAGTTTTACTAATCCGTAATTGGATAATTTCTTTTTTCAAGAACCCACTCTACTGGTTCTTTTTCTGAGGCTGGATCAGAGGAAAAAAAAAATAAGGTGGGGCAAATAAAAAAAAATTCTGAATTACAGTTTTAATCTTTCAGAGGTTTTGATGACTAGCAATTCTTTTCTGTTAAATTTGTCTCGTGGTTTCCCAGTTGCATGGAACACCCCCAGATTATCAAATGTAATTAAAATATTTAGTATGATGAGAAAGAAAAATTTCCAACATGTAACTTTTTGTTTGTATTGTCAAAAGTTGAACGTAGCTTTAACATCAGCATTAATTTCAGATTTAATTAAGCATCCTTTTCTCTGGTTATTTCAACCACCCTATTCTTGAGATGGTTGAAGTTTGTGTTGTTATTGCTTTCTTTGTATTTTGAGATCAACAGAGATACTTTTACTATTAATAAGAAAAACTTAAACAGGTAATAGTCTTCCATGTAAGTAAGTATTGGATCTCAAGAACATGCTTATTCAAGATGATAATATCTAAGAAAGATCAGGCAAGTTTTCAGGCAGATTGCTTTAGCAGCAGATCAACATTAGGTTGTAAGGGGTGCAATGCTCCAAACATCTTTTCTTTCTGATTGAACTGTAGTCTGATATAATGATAGCAGCTTCCTTCTTTAGGATCAGATCTTAAGAAATGAAGAGCTGTTCAAAAAGCCAAATATTGTATGCTTTTTCTCATATGCAGGACCTAGACCTAAAATGATGATGATGGTGGTGGTGGTCGTGGTGGTGGTGGGACATGAGCGTAAGAGGAAGACTGTGTGTAGACAATCAGTGGGATGGGAGAGGGGAAAAGGCAAGGGTAATAGGGGGTGAAGAAGATTGAAGTACATTGCATATATATATATATATATACATATATATAAATAAAATGTACTTCAATATATTTGTATATATCATATATTTGTACATATTCATATATATATACATACATACATATATGTATATGAAGAAACCATTATGAAATCCACCAAATACTGTTTGAAAAAGGAAGGAAGGAGAGGGAGGTTAGAGGAATGTGAACTTGTTCCAAGTACACAGCTATAGAATTATCACAATGAAATCCCCTTGTGCTACCAAAGTTTACTAAAAAATAAAATAAATGAAGAGCTGTGTTGATTTCTCCTGTCTTTGTTTTAAAGATACCTGGTGAAGAGGATCTGAGCCCAATTTTAATAGTCCATAAAGTAATTTTACAGATGTTGAAATCTAGAGATTCCCCTCATCTTTGCTTTGGTTTTTTTGTTTTTGTTTAAAAAGTATTTGGAAAAAGAGACTTCTGATAAATCATGTTATGGTGAGGTCACTGTGTAGACCTGAAATCTGGAACCCTCCCAAGCTCACTTTCTGCTTTGTGTTGTTCTGTCCCTCTGAACTAAAGATGATCTCCTTTCATCTCTGCTCATAACTTGTCCAGTTTAAAAGTGTCTTTTTAAAAGACCAGTACTTGCTGGGCACAGTGGCTCACATCTGTAATTCCAGCTACTCAGGAAGTAGAGATCAGGAAGATTGTGGCAGAGACCATCCTGTGCAAAATGTTCACAAGATCCCATCTCAACCAACTGCTGGGCACAGTGACATGACCTGTCATCCCGGCTACACAGGAAGTATAGATAGGAGGATCACAGTCCAGGCTGGCCCCAGGCATAAATTTGAGACCCTATTCAAAAAGCAACTAAAGCAAAAAGGGCTGGGTGGTGTGGCTCAAGTGGTAGAGATCCTATCTAGCAAGCACAATGTTCTGAGATAAAACCTCAGTACTGCTCCCCGCCAAAAAAAGTCCAATTACTATATGATTCCACTAGTGTGAGGCTCCTACTTAATCAAATTCACAGACTCAGGCAGTTGGATGGTGGTAGCCAGGTGCTGGGGAAGGCAGATAGGAAATTGTTTGATGGTTGTAGACTTTCAGTCTTACAATATGGAAAGGGTTCTGGAGATGGGATGCACAACAGTGTAAGTGTATTTAATACTGCTGAAATATATACTTAAAAATGATTAAATGGTAAATTTTATATGTATTTTGCTGCAATTTTTAAAAAGATGTCTTTTTTAAAAAAAATGGATACTTACAAAAATATTTCTTAGCCTCCTCATTTTTATACTCAAGAACTTTCTTCTTTATATTGGCAGCTCTTAAATTATGTCCACACTTTAATTTTTATATTTAATCGTTTGTTATTTAATGTTCTGCCTTCTCTTAACTTTCCCTTAAACTGCTTTTTTTTTTTTTCCGTATTGGGGTTTGAACAGGGCCTTCACCTTGAGCCACTCCACCAGCCCTTTATTGTGAAGAGTTTTTTTGAGATAGGGTCTCATGAACTATTTGCCTGGGCTGGCTTTGAACTGCGAACCTCCTGATCTCTGCCTCCTGATCAGCTAGGATTACAGGCGTGAGCCACTGGTGCCCTGCACTTAAACTGCTTTTCCTAGGATACATTATTAAATAGATGACGATCCCCTTTGCTACATAGCTCTTGAGATATTAGCTTTTATGCTCTACCTGTACTATTTTCACAGTGTTGTGATCTTACTCTGTTTTTAGGGAGACATTTCTCCAAGCGTTACAGGGTGTTCTACAAGCTTCTAAATTGTTAAGCTGGGAATAATTCTCATATCACTCTCCTAAGGTAGGTAAAAAATGCCCCAAACATGATATGTTGGTCATCTTGCCTCATCCCTCCCCAAAGTAAGGAACCAAACAAGTATAGGCACTAATGATGAAGCGGTGTGCCATGCCAGAGATGGAACGAACGGCGATCAAGCTTTCTCTCATTTTAGATTATGAAATGGAGTCTTTCCACTCTCATGAAGGCTGACACTGGGTTAAGAGAAGGTTTAAAGAATAGGGGAAAGAAATCCGATGGAAGACAGAAATCTAAGAGCCTGCGCGGAGCTGGGGGTGGGGTAGGGGAACACTTTATATGGAAAGAATGAGTGAAGACAAGATTTAACTGCATCTTTTGCCTCTGAACTTTGCTTGGGGTTTATGGAGTTTTTCTGAAGCTGTCATCTGAATTGTAGCTTTTTTCATGTTGGCAGCTTCATTTACCTCGTACTTTGGGGTATCTGAACATTTGAGTCTTAACTGAGGAAGCCTGTGATGACTGATGTGTTCTATCTTGTTTTTTACCCTTCTTCTTGATGCAGTTTATAAAACTGGCACTCGTCTCTTCTTTGTCGATTTTATTAATGAATTAGTTTTGGCAATGTTGGGGATTTCCAAGGCCTTGAATGTGGTTGCCTCTGGGTTACAGCTCCAGCTCTTTCTTTTTTGTCTTTTAAATTAGACTTCAAAATTAAGTTCTTCTGTGGTGCTTCTGAGTCGTTTCAGAACTGACCCATGGGAATGATGTTTAATGATTAAAACATCCATTACTGCCTCAAATTATTTGCCTAATGAATCAGTGTGTAAATAAACACATAGATAGACTCACAGGATTTTCTTCTCTTTGTTAGCCCTTCAGTGCATTTCCATGCTTTCTTTCAGTTGGATCCCTGCGGTTTTCTTTTAAACGATGATCCACCAACAGACTAATCTTGATTCTATGATTTGCAAACTGTCTAGAACGTGTTTGGTATTTAGTGGATTAAAGGGTTTTAATCACATATATAAGCAGAATTCTGTTCTTGACTGAAGTATTAGAATTCTTTAATAAACATTAGTCCCCTTTGTTTTGAGGCAACCTCAAATGTAATACTCTTTGATTTGAATTAATGACTTGCCAAACAACACATTAGCTCTTGGCATTTCCTTCATCTGAAAATGGAAGCTTTAAGAATTTGGTAAGGCTTCAGTGGAATAGGACATTCAGAAATGCCAGCTTTAATGCCTGGTATCCAGGAGTTGTGTGATTCATGATAATTTAAAGGAAACAGACCAAAACCCAAATGTTTGAGTTTCCACTTCAATGCTCTGTCCTTAGTTATATGCTGTTCTGAATGGTTTATAATTAGCAGTTTATTTTGATCTGTAAGGAATTGTATAAACAACATTTCATTATAAAATCTCACTTTTATAGTTAGTACAGATGATTTGCAAGTAGTAGCCATCAACTTGTTTTTGTAAGACATTGCTAGTATTTAAAAAATTTTATTTAACAAATTTTATGTTCTTAGATTAGTAGGAAAGTCAAATACTGAAAGGCATGGCATATCACTCTTGATGAATCCTTGTAAAAGTGGGAATAGAATTCTGGACTTCTATCTCTGGCTCATTTCAGATAATATTCCATTATGCGTTTTTCAAATAAATAATAAGATCAAAATAGTTAAGGGAAGTAATTGGGCTCAGAGTATTTATTTGTTGAGTGGTGATATAATGGAACAAAAAAGAGTCAGATTTGATGTGTGAACTGTCTCTTTGCAATGCCTTGACATATTGAAGATAGACAAATACGCATTGGAAGGATGAGTAAAAACAACAGGGATTGACACACGTCATGGACAATTTAGGTCACTGATTACTGTTGTCCTTTACTATATGTTCTGTTTTCTACATCCTTGTTCTCTGCCTTCTGCATTTGTGATTCTTGGGGTGTGTGTGTGTGGTTGTGGTGTGGAGGGGGGTCTCAGCACTGAGAGGAGGTATTGTTTGAGGAGAGATAGGGAAGACCATGCAAGACCACCTTGGGACTTTCCCTGTAGAGAACCACTGAGTAGATTAGCTTTTGTTGGTGGTCCCTAGGTTCAACTACTTTGAATAAAAATATTTTTGCCATAGTATGTGTCCTGAGAGGCCATGCCAGTGGATTCAGCACCATCCATAGATAAGCCATCGATTCTATAACTGTTTCTTTTTCTTCACTCCT